GCTCACTTGTTAAGCAATAAAAGCAATACCAGTTCTGTTAAAAAAATTTTGTCGCATCGTCTTTCCACCAAATAACAGAAAAGTATCGATAGTGGTATCGATAAAGACTCGGATCGATAAGGAGTATCGATAAAGGTATCGATATCAATAAATATTAACGATCCCCATCTCTAGTGGTGCAGTGGTTCACACACACGACCCATGTATGGAGTCGACGCGGGATCCAACCCAGCCAAAAAAGACAAAATTTGATTTAGTAAAATAGGCTAAGGATCAACTTACACATACCTCCATTCAACTTCTCCCAGCAGCCAGTGCTTCCTGTCTATATCGCAGATTTACAAACCTTCAGGGTGGTACGTTTGCAAGGGTTGTTTTTTATTTCCTTAATACAAGAAAAAATAAATGCATATTTTCTTTAGAAACTTTGCTCCCCTATTTTATTTAACTTCCTAAGAAATAGAATATTGTATATTATAATATATTGTCATGTACCCCCTGCAGTGCACCCGTGGACCACTAGGGGTACAACTGCCCCCGGTTGGGAATCGCTGATCTACAGGCAGACCGATTCCCTCACCGGCCGACAGCTTTGGCCGATATTTCTGCTTGGATATGTTCAGATTGATTACAGCATTTAGCAGCCGTGCCTTAAGATCCGCCAGGCTGCTACCAGTTAATGTTTGGTTTGAGTTGGTAGGAAAACATCTGCTTGTTTAAATTGGGACGTGCATAACATCTGTTATTATTGTTTTATTTTATCATTTAAATGGAGGAAGAGAAAAACTTTGGGTCCCGCATTAGGGATCAGACTGATGTCAAAATAATCATTACCAGCGTACCTATAGTCAGTACGCGTTTATCTTTTTAGTTTAGTATGAAAAAATACACTTTAAAGTACCTCAGCGAGTGTGTAGCCCTTTAGTCATGTACAACAACAAAAATGTAAGGTCAGATCTGCACACGCTTCAAAAAACAACAATAAGTAAGTAATTAAATAGTTTTTTTGTGCATGACTAAAGAGATATATGCCTGTTGAGGTGGTCTAAAGTGTATTTTTAGTACAAAATGAAAGGGATAAACTGAAGTAGCAGACGTGTATGCAGATCTGACGTCTTGAGCATGCGTATTGACTGATAACCTCTATCAGTTTGTCTCTGATCTTTATTAGTTTCAATCCAATGAAAATAATCATCATCATTAGAATCAAAAAATGAGGAATTAAAGTCGGCATCAACAGGAAGGGAACGCCGTAAAGGGATCTCCTGTTTTTATAAATGTATGAACCTGGATGGGAATGAGATGAAGCAGGTGAGCCGTGTCGTACGGAGGTCAACCTTCCTCTCGGTTCCCGACCTTCCAAACAAAGCGGTGATTTTATTTAGCAGAAATGATGGATGGATGAAGCTGGATTAATGAGGCGCTCTGTGCAGACAGAGACCGAAACAAGAACAGGAAACAAGAACAGGAACCCTGGGTCAATTCAGGGACAAAAAGTCCAGTTTTACCAGATTAATAATATGATAAAGATCCAGACGGATGGAGTTTCTATGTTTAGACATGGATGATCTCAGCGGGTGAAATAATCTGACTTTATATAAGGAGAGGATCTAATAACAGATAAATGATTGAAAGCTCTAAATCATCTCGTGGTCATGACGGTTGGATCAGCCTCACGTGGCGGAAACCTTCAGGCCAGCGGGCGGAGTTTAACGTGTTCATGACCTGCGTGTGTCTGCTGCTCCTCAGGCGTCCTGCTCAGAGGGGAAGCTCTTCAACCACCTGGAGACGGTGTGGCGCTTCAGCCCCGGCCTCCCCGGCTACCCTCGGACCTGCACTGTGGATTTTGCTGTGAGTATCCTGCCGTGGCGTCGGTTCCGCTCACCGCCATTACGTCCGCCGTGTTTTTCTTCCAAGTTTCAAAACGGCGGGACGTCCGCCAACAAGCTAACGCCCCCTCCTTTCTCTCCCGCAGATCTCCTTTGAGTTCCGCTCCCTCCTCCACTCTCAGCTCGCCAACGTCTTCTTCGATGAGGTGGTCAAGCAGATGGTTTCAGCGTTCGAGCGCCGCGCCTCTACGATACACGGCGCCGAGACGCCCATCCCCCGGGAGCTGATGTTCCACGAGGTCCACCAGACGTAGCACCCAGCCCCGCTTCGCACACTAGCAAAACGCAACGCCAAAGAGACGGAGGACGGCCCCCGTGCGCCGAGTGAGAACTGCAGTGCCTTTCCTACAACAGCGAACCCTTTTTCCACCTCAGATTTTAAACCTCGGTGCTAAACCCACGCAGGCCCCAGCCGCCGCCGCTGTGACATCATCATGAACTGTACGCCGTCACATCTGACAAAGAACCATGAAACCCAGCTGGAGCCAAAAAACAGAAGTGAACATTTTAGCCTTTTACTAAAACTTTCTACCGTTCATGAAGTGACCTTTTAGGAGCGTTTCCTGGTTCCAGCTGGTCAGGCGGGGGCATCCCTCGCTCGTCTTTGTCAAATCTGATTTTAAAGCTGCCCATTTGGGCTCTGAGCGAAGCTTTCAGGGCATTTGGATCAAACTGAGGAGTTTGTTTTAGGAAAGTTGTAGCAGTTTTTATTTAGTTCCCTTTGAAGCATTTTCTAACCTCTGACTTTATTTATATCTAAACACAAAAGGCTGAAAGCAGAAGATTATAAAACAAGCTAGAAACTCAAATAATATAGTAAGCTAACGTAGCGTAGGAGGAGAGGAGACGTGGCAGTTGGTACTGATGAAGGATCAGCTGAACGGCGTTCAGCCGGACCGCCATCCCGTTTTACCGCCGCAGTCCGACTGGATCCAGAACCGGATCCTTCTCTGGTAGAAGAGAGACTGCAGGCGGACGTACTGTACTGACGGCGCCACACGCCGCACCCGAACGGTTAATCTCTCCGTTTTCACCCTCCCTTCATCATCATCATCATCAATGTTGGGAGGCGTGGCTTGTTTCTGCTGAAGACGAATTCAACAGAGAAGCATGGCGGCGATACGTGGAGAACTTCCTGCTTGATCCTGGTTTTTATTAGAGAGTCGCCGATATGAAAAGCTGGGCTGATATTTACTGACACAGCGCTGACATTAAAAACACCCACAATCCTTTGCTGCGGCTGCAGGGAAATGGAGGTGGATCTCCAGCCTGTGATCATCCATCAGGGAAACACTCGATCGCTGCGTCTCTGATGATCCAGCTGCTGTCAAAATGACAAAGATTCGGTTTCCTTTCATCTTCTGCTGAAGTTTGCTTCTGGTCACCATGGAAACGTGTCAGACTAAAAAGGGAAGAAAGTGTCTGACCAGCAGGTGTGAGAGAAACGCCTTAAACTGCTCTGAATAAATGTTCATGTTCGGCCCGTGTTTCCATGACGACCTGAAAGCCTCCCACCAGCTGTTCCCGCCCACGCCGGCGGCGTATTTATCAGTCATTTTATTCTATTTATTGTTTTAGCTGTAGATGTTCTCTTTCCTTTCGGAGCTGATGGTTAAGTCACAGGAAGTCTGGTTCTACGACCGCCGCCGCTGTCCGCCGTGTTCCGATCCAGCCGATGGCGAACGTTAACAGGCAGCTCAGTGTCGCTGTGTAAATAGTTTGAAGTTCACATGAGGCTGTATTCTGCTTTTAGAGAAACCGTGTGTCTGTTTCTGGTGTGTGAAAACGACGATGTACCAACTGCATGTTATATAAAGTTATTTTTTCTAAAAAAAAAAAATCATGACTGGTTTCTTTTTCCACTTGGTGTCGGTTCATCATGACAGAAGCAAAACGAGCTAATGATGAGGTCATTTGAAAATATCTTCCTGACCTTTGACCTGCTCAACAGTCAGGTGTTTTTGCTACTAAAAGCCTCCATTTTTCGCTGAAGCCGCTTTCAGATAAAATCCAAGGAAATCTTCTTTAGATGCTTTTTCAAAGTGTCCTCTGGGTCCAAAGGTCAGGCTGCAAAATGACTGACTTGGTCTTTTTAATTCTGGGATCTTTAAACAGCTTTATGTCAGAAACAAACAGTTTTAGAAAGCGGCGATGATGCCATGCTGCTTCAGAGGGACGAAAAAAGGGGAAAAACGATTTAAAGTTTCTACAGAAGACAATTATGGAAGATTCACTTTAACCCCCAAAACTTTGACCCTTTTCATTCTCAGTGG